GGCAGAGTGGGTGGAAGAGGGCCAGGAGGGTTACACTTTGTTTTGGAAGGACAGGGTTAGAGAAGAGGTAATGGTATCATTTTGTAAGTCTGAAACATATACACTTGTTCCTTAGTTCAGGAGGAAGAACATAGCATATCAGAATGCATTTGGGTGAAGAGAAAACATGTAAGATGCAGCATCAATATAATGGTGGGGATTTATTATAGGTAGGGATGTACTCAAATCACGGTTTCACGATTTTTGTAGAAATTATGAAAAATGGCGGTTTCCATGATTTAGCATGGAATCCCCAGGAAAAAAACCTCACTAGAAATAAAATACTGGCTCCCCAGTGTGAAGCCAGTGGCTGCTGTGGCTCAGCCTCACAACCCACTGCAGGGGGTAGCCACTGGCATGAAGGGCAGCGGTCAAGATGGCAGCTGCTCCCTCCACCATTGATTGGCTGAAAGGGCTGCCTTTCCTGCAGCCCCACCTGTCCCTGCCACATGAAGGAAGCCCTCTTCCAATCAGCAGCAAGGGACAGGGCTGCGTGAAAGGCAGCCCTCTTGGCCAATCAGTGGCAGGAGGAGGGGAGTTTGCCACAAAAATGGCAAGAAACTACAGAGACGAAATCAGGAAGACAAAGAGAAGAAATGAGATGTACCTAGCAACGGAGGTTAAAGACAACAACAAGAGGTTTTATAAGATTTTGGCCAGAAAAAAAAGACACAGGCATCTGTGGGACCACTGATAAACAGCCAGGGGGAACTCTTAAACAGAAGATGCAAAGAAAGCGGAGCTACTCAAGTGTTACTTTGTCTCAGTCTTTAGAAACAAAAATTAAGCTGAAGTCAGGTGCCTAATAAGAATTATTTGGATAAGGAAAGGAACAAGCTGAGAGATGGACAGTCAGAGTGCTTTTCATGTGTCTGAATCAATTCAAGTCAACAGGGCCAGATGAGTTTCATCCCCAAGTACTGAAGGAATTGGTAGAGATCTTGGAGCCCTTGGTGACGATATTTCTGAAACTTTGGGAGATGGGTGAGGTACCAGAGAACTGGAAGAAGCCTAATGTAGTAGTCCTCATGGTTTACAAGGCAAAAATGAGGACCCAGGGAACTACCAACCAGTTTAGCACCACTTCAATACCTGGGAAATTACTGGAGCATATCTTAATGGAGTCCTTTTGCAAGCATCTGGAGGAGGAAAGGCTGACTGCAAGCAGCCAGTATGGATTTACTAAGAACAAATCGTGTCAAACAAACTTGATCTCCTTCTTTGACCAAGTAACTACTTGGGTGGTGGACAAAGGGAATGCCGTGGATATAATGTATCTGGACTTCAGCAAGGCTTTTGATAAGGTCCCACATGACCTTTTCATAAACAAATTGGAGAAATGTGGCCTGGACAGAACTACTATAAGATGGATACACAACTGGCTCAATAGCTTCAATTAAAGGGTAATTATAAATGGATCCATGTCATGATTTCAGGAGGCTTTGAGTGAAATCCTACAGGGGTTTCTCCTGGGCCCAGTGTTGTTCAACATATTTATTAAGTATTTGGACCCTTGAATTGAGAGCTTCTTGAGCAAGTTTGAAGTCCACATGAAACTGGGAAGGATTGTGAACACATTGGAGGACAGAATCACAGTTGAGAAGGATCTTCGCTATGGCTGTCAAACTGTTTAAAAATTTGATCACAGTCAGTTGCGTGATTAAAAAAGGGGTTGCAATTAATTGTGATTTTAGTTGTACAACTAACAACTCAAAATTATGTGCAGAAAAACTCAAAATTGATACAAAATTATGCAGGTTCTTTGTGTGGTTGGAGTGTGTGGTGTGCAGGATGTCCAATCTGAGCAGGGTCACTGTGGAGCTGACCCAGGCCCAGGGCGCGCCCCCTGCCCAAGCATGACCCCATTGGCAGTGGCCTCACCCTGCCTTTGCCCCAGCAATGGCAGCCATGGGCTGTCTGGGCTGGGAGCAGCTGCTCTGGCCTCAGCCCCACCCTGGGCTTGAACTTCCCTGTTTAATTGCTCAGCAGGTTCCAGGTGGTCTTAACGCGCCCTGGGCCCGATGGTGCAAGGCAGTCTTGCTGCAGCCCAGCACCACCTTCCCCGAATGCCTGATGCTGCCAGCCTGGCTGCTCAGGGCCCCAAATAGGGGTTGTGGGTGAGTGTGGCCCCCACCCCGCCTTCCTGCTACAGCTGCCTGAAGTCTGCGTCCCACTGGGACTCCCATGGAACCACTGTGGTGGGGCTGCCTGGCACCCTTAGGCCCCACGACTCAGGCTTAGGGAGGATCAGGACTGCCTGGGAGCTCCAACACGAGCTGCCTCTGGGCCTATGGGTCTCCATGCATCCCCAGTCTGGGACCCTGGGGAGTGGCAGCGGTGGTAGTCCTGCATGCCTACAGAGGCAGCTGCTTCCGATGGGCAGGGTCGAGATTCCTGTGGAGCCACCTCCTGCAGGCCCTGATCTGTGCCGTGCCGTGTGCCCGGCCCCAGCCCAGCACCGATGGAGCCTGACCCATGCCTGGTGCAGCATGGATTGCCACTGCAGCACCAGGCAGATCCACCGCTCTCCTCCCTATGCCAGCTGGGCTCCCCCAGGACCTGCACGAAGTCGCCAGACCCACTGGGTCCTGGTGGGAGCCCAGGAGACACAGGGAAGAGCAGCAGCTCTGCCCGGCTCGTCGATGGCGGTGTTGGGCATGGCTGCAGCTCCGTCAGCACTGGGTGTGCAATGCAGTGTGAGCCAGAGGCTGCAGGAGGTGGCTCTGTGGGAATCCTGCCCCTGCCCACCAGTAGGGGCTTCCTCCACGGGGTCGCAGGTCACTGGGCCACTGTCACCATTGCTCCCCAGTGGCCTGGACCAGGGATGCATGAGGACCCGGGCCCAGAGGTGACTCATATCATAGCTCCCAGGCAGTCCTGACCTGCTCCAAGCTGTGGGGCTTGAGGCTGCCAGGCAATCCCGCTACAGCTCAGCACCGCCTTCCCCAAACTCCCAGTGCTGCCTGTCTGGCTGCTTTGGGCCCTGGATGGGGATTTTGGGTAGGTGTATGGGTGGGTGTGTAGGTGCACCACCTCTTCCCCCCTGTTGCTACAGAAGCCCGTTTCCTGTGCCCTGGATGCTCTATGGCTCTTCTGCACTGCCACTACTGCCTCACTGGGTGGCCTGGAGGTGGTGGTAATGGCAGCAGGGCAGGGCAGGGCAGCCCGGGTGCAGGCTCCAAAACCACATGTATGATTAATGCGTTAAATAATTAACATGTTAATTAGTTCTTGCATTAATTGTACACGTTAACAACAATTAATTGACAGCCCTAATCTTGACCCATTGGAAAGCTAAGCTGGAGCTAATAGGAGGATGTGCAATACTGAAAAGTACAAGGTGCTGCACCTTGAGATGAATAATCAAAAATACAAATACAAAATGGGTTACATGTGACTATGACAGCACTATGGAGAAGGATCTGGGAGTCTTGGTAGGGCTCAAGATTCAATATGAGTCTGTAGTTTGATGCAGCCACATAAAAAGCAAATGCAGTTTTGGGATGCATCTGACATTAGGTGCAAGACACAGGAGGTGATATTCCCTCTCTTCTTGGCACTGGTTAGGCCTCATCTAGAGTATTGTGTTTACTTTTGAGCTCCACATTTTAAAAAGGATGTAGAGAAGTTAGAGAGGGTCCAGAGGCAGATGACAAGGATGATAAAGGGCTTAGAAAGCAAGTCATATGGGGAGAGGCTGAAGGAACTAGGTATGTTCAGCTTGTGAAAATGGTGCTTAAGGGGACATAGTAGCAGGCTGCAAATACTTGAAGGGCTGCCATAAAGAAGAGAACGAGTACCTTTTCTCTCTTGCTGCATAGACTCAGACACAGACCAGTGCTTGAAAATGCAGCAAAGTAGGTGTGATTGGATGTCAGGAAAAGCTTCTTTACTATTAGAACAGTGAGGCAGTGGAATAGACTGCCTAGGGAAATTGTGGGCTTACCATCACTGGAGGCATTCAAGAAGATGCTGGACAGCCACTGGTCAGGGATGATTTAGGTGTAGCTATGTCTTTGTTCTTCCATGGGTATTTCCCAGTCTTCTGGGTTTTGTTCAATGCTGCATGAGGCCAGGAGGGAATCCTTCCTACCCCACTGCTGCTGCTAATGTGTGTCAGGGTTTTTGGGTTTTTTTTTCTAATGCCTTCCTTGGAGGCATTGGGTGTTGGCTGCAGCCAAAGCTGGGGATTTTGACAGGGATATGCCAGTACTTCTGCTCTAACCTAAATCTGAAGGTTCCTGGCTAGGGAGTCTTGCCTCTCTGTTCAGGGTCAGACCAATCACAATATTTTGGAAGCGATTTTACCTCATGTTCAGATTGGTATGGACTTATAGGGGTTTTTGCCTTCCTTTGTAGCAGGGGGCATGGGCCTCTTCCTGGCATCTCTTTGAGCTTATACTAACACCTTGGTAGCATCAGGCCATTGGCTGCCATGGTCCCCTTGCTTTACCTGTGGCAGGTAAGGGTATTATGTTTTGGTTTTTGTGTAAGGCTTGGCCTCAGGCAGGGTTTTGGACTAGATGACCTCTTGAGGTCCCTTCCAGCCTTATGTCTCTGTGATTATAAGTATGTGCTTATTTTAGTGAAAACACATTTTGAGAACACAAATTTCTGCAGAACTGCAAAATTTCTGCAAGTTTTACAGCAGGACTTACAAATGTTTAGGATGTGAAGAAAGCCAGCTTGGTTCAGGTATTAAAATCTTCTAAGTTCTGCTGCAAAATTTGACTGCTATGCAAGGAAAAAACTTCAAGGATAGGTCATTTAGGACTATCGTAGCTAGATAAAATATATTCTTGTGGAACACTAAAGAAAATCACTTTTGGAATGTCTTTATTAAAAATTTTAGAAACATCACAGAATTGATTAATTCTTCTACTTGATGACACTGTCAGTCTTATGTAGCTTTATATTTTTCTTTACTCCTTTTCATGTGTGTGTTTGTTTTTTTTTTAAAGAGCGGTATAGAATCCAGAGTGATCAATTAGAAGACATTTGGCTAATAGCAAATGAGCTTACTCTTCGTCTTGAAGAACATTTCAAGAAGCAAAATTGCAAAGACTTCCTGTGTATCTTCTCTGGTTCAATTCCTTTGCAAGAATATTTTGAATGTATTGATCACCACTTTGAGGTATGTCTTAAAATATTTTATATGCTGATAGAAGTATCATTAGTTTTTGTTAGCAAGTTTTGCTTCATGTATGGTCTTTTACCTTAGCATAGCTTTTCTGGTCTTTTGCTTTCCTCAGAAGTTTCCTAATGATAAACTACTGAACTCTAGAGACCCACTGTGTTCAACTCCTTTGGATTGGAATTTATTCTGTATTATGAAATGAACTATGGATTGGACTTTCTATTTCTGTATGCATATCTGAAGCCTCCCTATCCACCTGTTCCTATTTTGTGCATCAGCCCTGGCTTGGAATAAGGCAGGATAAACATCTTAGAGATCGAGAGCTCATACCTCAGCATTGCTCTCAAGGAATGCTTTTTTAAGGAAAGCTACCAGATTTGGCAGTTAGACTTGAGGCTCCTTGGCACATCTGCTTGAGGCTCCTGAGTAAGTGCCCGCTACTGCTTTCAGAGGCTCCCTAAGATGGAGCCTGAGTGGCATTAGCTATCTACTCTCCCTAATAGCTAGGCTTGGGTGTGCATAGAGCAGAAATGAGTGGGCAAGGCTTGATTTGTTGGTGGCTGTTGGGGGCTTGACAGGTGTTTATTATATCTGTGCTCATCCTGACTTTCTTTGTGGTCTTCGACAAGTGACTTGACCTCTGGAGTGTTACTTCATTTTTATAAAGTATTTGTAGGTGAAAAGGACTGCATTAGTGACAAACACTCATTTGGTACAGAAGTTAATTTCTTAATACAAAATTACTGAAGTGATGGCAAAATTCCATAAAGGCTAATAGTTTGTAGTTCTTATTGGCACACTGTTAGCTGCCAGTGTCCAAAAGTTAAAGTGGTTTAAAAATATTCTCAAAAGCCTCATTCCACATTTAGACTATAGAAAATGGAATTTGTCCTGGTCTTGACTAATTATTTTGAGTTCAGAGAACCCAGGGGTAGCTTCACCTGTGGCCTGCTCCCATGCAAATGCTACAAGTAGAGGATAATATTTGAGCTCATCACTGTATGTATCTGTATAGAACAGGGGCGGGTAGTTATTTTGGGTGGAGGGCAGCTTACTGAGTTTTGGCAAGCCATCGAGGGCTGCATGACAGGCAGCCAGGGACAGATAAATATTAATTTTCTAAATTTTTACGGGCCCCACAGGCCAGATAGGATGGCCTGGTGGGCCTCATCCAGCCCGTGGGCCGCATTTTGCCCACCCCGATATAGAACCGGCACATAATCTGGCCTTAGATCCCGTATTTACTAGCATCACTGAATAGGAAGATTGGTCATTGAACATATTCCTCTGATGTGCCCTTTCATATTTGCCATCTTCCTATTATAATGCAGTAAAAATGAATCCATAAATATTTTATGATTTATATACACATCCCTTTATACTTAAAATTATTTTGTTATACTTCGATACTTAAAATTATTTTGTTATACCTCGTGAAGGCAGAAAGAAAAAATTTAATGTCTTTTCCAACCCCTACACAAGACTTACTCAGTCTCCTCAACCTGTTCCTCTGGCTGAGATTATGGTAATGAAAACATCTCTAGTACTTTAACAATAATGAATAAAATGAACTAAACCAAATAAACTGACCTCCATGCAAATAGATTTAAGTTATGTAAGAGGGCATAGCTCTGAACATTGTTTGTATTCAAAGGCAAACTAAGTACTGAGCAGGAGAGGTACTTGGGTTAGCCTGAAGTAAGGCAAAGTCAGGGTTGGGTTGCAGTGACTAATTGGTTCAGAGAGGGGTAAGATTTGTCAGATAACACCTACAGAAGGTCATGCCTCTCTGAACCAGTTAGTCTCTATAAGCTTATTTTTGCTTTTTAGTCATAGGCTTAAGTCGTCTGTATTATATGTATATATCTATATGTGTGTATGTATGTATGTATTTTTTAAAAGTAGTGTATCTTTTATTAAAATGGTGTATAACAACACTAGAGCTTTCACTTCTGTTGGCAGCGGTGTGCCGCATTTTTACTTTTACATATTCACAGAAGTTTAGGGCTGGAAGAGACCTCATGTTGGAGGAAGTCCCTGCACCAGAGGCGTGTACTTTCTCTGGCTACATTTTAACTTCCAGTGCTCATCCCTTCCTTATTTTATTTTTTCCCCCCAACTCCTTGCAGTCCCAGCTGTTTCCCACCATAGATTCTTTTTGGCTGTTTCTTGTGACATGTTCTTTTATTTTATGTCTTCCACTAGTGGTATTTGCACATTTTTGTCTTGATAGCAACATCAGAATTTCCACACTAGGTCAGACAAAATGATCCATTTTGCCCAGTTACCTGTCTCTATCTAGAGCAATCTGTACCCTATTCATTACCCTTCCTGGCATCCACCATCATTGGCGTAGAGCTGCCAAAGAATAACATTTCTGCTTCCAGTGAAGCTAGCAAAATTTGCATCAACTTCATAATCAGACTCAGAGGAATAAAATAAGATGCTGTTAGCTGGTTAATTATTACCAGTCTGGCATCTAAGCCTAAATAATTCCAGAAGTTTGAAATAGTAGTGTGATTGTGAGGCGACATGTTAGTTTCTAACATACTGTGCAGCTTTTGTCTATTATGATGACTTGAAACATATAATAATACTGGGTTAGAGAGCCTCTTATTTCTTGAATGGAGCAAAATTCTGTTTCAGATTATCAAGGAAATCTTTCTGCTTCCCTCTCAGTTTCAATTTTGACAGATTCTGGTATGCTTGAGAGATGATTGGAGATTCTCGTGTCCTTTTTCCCCTCCCATTTCTAAAGATACTACTTCTTTTGCTTTAGCATTGTGCTCCTTCTCACTTGCCTGAGTTGTCCTCCAAGGATTTTATGTTGACTATCCATATATAATGGTTTGTGGCTTGTTTTATGCCAGGGTGCTTTTTGATAGTTAGAGGCCTTGAATCATTTCCTATCAACTTTGGGAAGCATTAGGGAAGATAAATGTTATGTTACCCATGTCCTGGGAACAGCATATCTTGGAATGTACATTTTGATGACTTCTGATAATTGCTCTGTGACTCTTATATGGAGGATATTACCTACTTGGAGAACTCCATTTATTTGTCAAGGACCCAGTTTTTAGAATGTCTCAAGTCATTTTTGTGCTTAAGGGTCTTATACTGGAAAATAAAATAGAGCTCATTGCAGACAGAAGTATGAATTATTATTGCCTGAACATTTTGATATATAATTTTATCATGGTTTTGTGGGCACTTTAAGAAAATTGGCTGCAATACTGGCCCTCTGGATATTGAGGTGAAAAAAGGTTTCCCAAAAAGAGAAAGTATAGTTTCAACCAAAGGAAAACTTAATACTTCAATCATGTTCAAAGGGAATTATAACCCTTCACTTTCTGCTGCTGTTACATTTAATACATTTTACATATGTGCCACAGACATAGCACATTGAAATAAAGAAAAACCCTCATATCATGGTGCTGATGAGTTAATTTCATTCCTGTTATAAGACCTCATGAAGAGGCTATTGTGTATTATCATAGATTACTGTGGCTGTCAACAATTATTTTCAATTTCAATAATAGGAGCCATTATTGCAACCTGCTGGTAGATCTCATGATGTGTGTGAAATTTACCCCAAACCAATATAAATCCAAGACAGTCCATGTGACCATAGCAAGCTACTCTTTAAATTAATAAATACTATAAGTATTTCCAGACTGTTTCTGATCTAAAACTTCATTATGCACATAGATTTTGAAGGAAGACTTTTATCTATTGACTCAAACTCTTAATCTGGATTTTTTTTTTTAATCCTTAAAAAATTGCAGCTGCGCTTGAATGCTGAAAAATTCCAAGAACTATTATCTGAACGGGCAATACAGTTTAGAGCTATTGAACGACGATTGCTAGCACGATTCAAAGACAAAACCCCTGCTCCCCTCCAACATCTGGACACCTTGCTAGAAGGAACTTACAGACAGGTCAGTACAGTTTGGTTATGAACCTAACTTTTCTTTATGTTGTTGTTAAAATTCACATGTTAAAGCACATAAGCTATACTTTCCTAATCACATTTACCATTCAGGAGACCAGGAAGCAGTAATTTGTTTAACCTTATATTCTCTGCAAGTTTCCAGATGATTTGCAATGGTTTTATTTAATTTGCAACCACAGAATTTCTACTCTTGGATCACAGAAACTTGACAGGACATCATTCTTTCCAAGCTGATGTTGATAGTGTAAATATTTTATAGTTCATGTGAAAATATTTTATAGTTCATTGCTTGTATAAATATTTTATGGCACACTGTAAACTGGTGGAATGGTTTGGCTGGTGTAACATTCACAACAAAATTAGTTGGAGCCTGACTGTGTCCTCCTTCAAGACTCTTTATTTCCTTAACAGTTTGTAATGCCATAGTTATAGTTAAGGACCTAGCTCCTCTGCCCCCCACTCCACCCCATTTCCCCTGGACTGGTCTTAGGCTGGTGGAAAACACCAAAACATACCTCACTCCTGACTACTACTTCCACAGCCCCATATTGCTTGGGAGCCTAAGAAGTCACATTGTTGGTGTCTTGTACCATCTTGCTAGGAAACCAGGTTAGTCTTCAATCTTCAACCTGCCATGATATTCTCTTCTGTGCACCTGTGCCTAAAGAGTTAGGGAAATAGATTCATAGAGACACAGGTAGCTTCTGGGCTCTGGCATCCCATCATATAGCATATCATCTAATTGTTTTAAGAATGACTGATGCTTTCTAGAATGTCTCATATATTGATGCTTTCTAGAAAAAGAATATATTTGTGTGCATGTGTGCATTCTTTTTCTAAAAAGCTTCAATCATTCTTAAAACAGTCAGATGATATGCTATATGATGATTAAGTTGGGGAAAGATTCTTGTAACATGAAAAAATTGCCTAGAGGTAATTATGTAAGAATAAAGGTTAAATTTGCCATAAATTCAATTCTTTCTATTATATGAATCCTTAATAAAGGTAAGATTTTTTTAAAGCAAATACATGTTACTTAATCATAAAAATATGAGACATTTTGATAGGTGCGTGATTCCTCCACACTTCCAGGCAGGCTTACTGAGCCAGATTATGAAAGAATTAAGGTCTGATCCTACAGTGACAACACACAAGAGAACTGTTACACATGAAAAGATCCCCATTAAAAGTTACCAGGTTTTTTGGATGTAAAAATCTGCGTGGTCATTGTGAATTTCAGGATGAAGATCTAAGGTCTTTTATTAAAATTTGATAAAAAGTCTCAATGAATTATGTTTGATTTTCTATTCTGGAGGCTTACTTACAGATGCAATCAAGTAAAAATAATGTTCCATCTGACTTTTCGTTCTTTTAACTACTGTTGAGTGTCACATTTTAGGATTACAATAACTGAAAGAAACAGAGAAAATAGAATGATCTAAAGTCTGTTTATTTTGACAGAATGTAATACTTAGTTTTACTAGAGAGTTGATCATTTTCTTTGTTTAAGTCTTTCACATAGTAGGGGAGACATTTATTTTATTGGGAAACTGACTTAAGAACATGAGAAATAGTATAGAGAATCAGGTTTGTGTGTGTTCTTGTTTTTAAATGACAAAATGTGGTTTCAAGGTTCTTTGGGTAAATGTGATACTTTTTTTAGACCAACTAAATAGTTGGAATAATTGTTCTTTGCAAGCTTTTGGGTACAAACACCTTGTTCAGGCAGAGGAAGAGTTTGGAGTTGCTTTGTACTGTCCTGGATGCGATAGAAGCTGATAGTTACCAGCTTCTATCCCATCCAGGAGAGCACAAAACAACTGTAAACTCTCCCTCTGCCTGAAGAAGGGTGTTTGTACCCAAAAGCTTGCAAAGAACAATTTCCCCAAATATTTGGTTGGTCTAATAAAAGGTATCATATTTACCCAAAGAACATTGTCTGTCTATGTCCTTAGACAACATGGCTATAACCAACATCCCCCCACCAATGTTTTCAGACTTTTTCTTACTGGGGTAGGCTGGGGGGGAGGGGAACGGGAATGCTCTCTTCTCGCCCCCCCCTCCCCTGGCACACATTCATTTAAAGGTGTCATAGGATCTGACAGGTTGTTGTAATAGTATAACTATTTCAGTTTAGAAGGAGGGTTTTAATAGCATCTCAGGCTTCACTATAAAGACACATGTAAGCGAGATATGAAGGCGTTTGGAATTGATCCTGGTTAATGGGAAATCTTGGCAAGCGATTGGAACAGGTGGTGTCATCATCTCCACCAGGGCATTAAAGTCCACAACAGGATTTGGCTCCAACAGCTTGAAGAGCAAAAAGTCCGTCAGAAGCAAGCAGCTCCCGAACCAGCCAACCATGATGCATACGTTTGCAACTACTGCTACAGATCATGAAAATCTTGGATTGCACTATTCAGTCACATGAAACAATGAAAACCATCTACATCATAGGCTGCAATATCTACCATCTCTCGCAAACAAAAGGATGCCAATAATAATTTCAGTTCAGAAGGAGGATTTTAATGAAATAGTTGTACTGGTATAATTCCTTTAGTGTGAACAAAGATGTACTGGTATAAAGATGTCTTATGCTGATATACCTTATTCTTCTTGCTATGTGATAATAGCTATACTAGTATGTACTTATATCAGTATAGTGCAAAATAGAACAGTTTACACTGTGTAGAAAAGTCTTTTAAATATAGGCCTAATGGTCCTTAATACCTGCCTGGTATAGATTATTTCCTATACATATTGATATCTATATCTGTAAAGGATTTGTAATTTTTTTTATTGGCATATCTTTTATGCCAAGCTGCAAATTGTTAGAATGAAGTTACTGAATCAATCTGATTTCTGTAATAAAAATAGAATTTAAATTGGGGTGTTAAACTCCTTTGGCCCTGCAGGCTAGATGAGTGGCTTAGGGCCAGTCTATGGGCTGGATCAGGCCCATGGATTCCCTCCTGCTCCCTATGTCCCCTCCAGCAGTTGTGCCAGCTGGTCTAGGACTCAAGCTGTCTACGGTGTGGGCCCCAGAGTGGCTAGAATGGGCACACTGTGTGGTGGTGTCTGGCTGGAGAAGCAGCCATGCATTGTGTGGTGACAGGCCCTGCTGGGCCAAGCTTCACGTGGTCCATGAACCATGCTGCACATGGCGCCATGTGCACTGCAGGTCCTGGACTGGTTGCAGCGGGCACCACATGTAGTACAGTTCAGCTGGATTGGCCACCAGATGTAGTGCATCTGCTACTCCGGCTGGACTGCACTTTATGCAGCACCCATTCTAGCTGTTCCAGGGTCTGGACTGCACACAGCCCAAGTCTGTGATTGACTGGAGTGACCACTAGATCAGGTTTGCTGAGGGAGGAAAGGGTCAATGGCCAGATCCAGGACACAGACTGGCCCTGTGCCATGGTTATGTGCTGTGCCCCATGTGGGTCTGATCAGACCCAGGGACAAGCACCAGGGGCCAGCTGTCATCCCTGATTTAAATACAAACAGGCAGTTCTGCAGATTCATAAGTACGTTAAATTACATGAGTAAAAGTCCTCTTTGCTGAGCCAAAGACAATCAGGCTGCCCTTGATTTCCTTGCAAAAATACATTTCTGTTCACAATCAAATCTTTTTTATTAGTCCTCGGAGATATACATTGAGGCAGGATGTATCCAGTGCTACAATAAAACGATTAATGGGTCTGTTATAAGGAAATGGCAATATTGCCTTGTCTCTATGCTGAGAGAAATGTCTAAGGAGTTTTCAGTTGTCTGCAGTTGTGAAAGGTTTCATTTTGGTTTAATCTTGTCTAATGTAATTATTCTTTTTGTATTTGTGTTCTGTAAAGTGGGTTGTAATAAATTTGATTGAAATGCTACCAATTTTAACAGCTATATGAGACGCCCTTATTTTGATGGCAGAACTGTTGCATTGGAGGGTTACACAATAGTCTTAAACAATAATATAACCTTGTAAGAGAACTTTTTGCTTGAGAATAATGGCTTGTTCAGTTCTAGTGAGTGATTTGGAACGTGTGAGTTTTAGAGTCCTGGATGGTGACTGGACCGTATCACATGAAACAGAATGCACTACTAGCTTGAATTTTAAGGAAAAAATTTAGTTGGACAGGTTTTATATGGAACTGAACAGTAGGAGACAGTGTGCAAAATGTTGGTTCGTTAATAGACGGGCTCTGAATGTGAAAAAAAGGTTGTAGTATAATGTAAGAGAACTTTTTGTAAATCAGATGCTTTGCTGAGTTCCAGTGGATGATTTGGTATCCACTATGGTGGTTTTCTGCTGTCCGAGCTCAAAGCTTTCATAGCTTGAGAATGGATGAAGGTGCTGCTCTGGAGTCTTAATTCCCATACACTGAATCGTTGTTGTCAAAAGCTAGGATGATGGTTCTCAACATTTTTGGATTTAAGGCATACCCCTTGGAAAACGTCAACTCTTAATTTTCAGTCATTTGGTTACAGAAGAAATAATAGAGCGATTCCAAAACACCCAGAAGACCACAACAGATTGGAATGTTTTTGAAACCCTGGATTCCTATTTGATATCTCTGAGTTTACCTTGTGTATCAGGCATAGGTGTTATCACACCCAACAGTGTTAATATTGTGTGTTAATATTGTTGACCCTTAAGGATCTTGCAGTACCATTGTTGGGATTCGGTGGTCTAGAATGTCCACTTTTGGGAAAAGGGAGAGAAGACTTTGGATACTTATGATGGAGTTAATCTGTAAGAGTTGTAGTAGAGTCCTAGGTGATATCTCTGCTGTCCATTTTGTGTTACAAAAGTGTTTAAATATTTGATCTTTCTTCAGGTTTTCTGTATTTGTTTTGAGTGTTTTAGGGACTTGTCTTATAACTCACAAAGACTGTGAAGATCTTGGTGACATGGCAGTCTAACCACTCTTTGTGCATATTTTGTTTTATAACCATAAAACATACAATAAAACAGAAGAATTGGCTGTTAAA